CCAGTAGGTAGTCTGACCTTTATCTCTTGCTGCTTTTAGGATTTTTCCTTTTATACCTACTTTGTTTAGGTTAATTACTATTTGTCTGGGAGTTGGTCTTCTCATTTGTTTTCTTTCAGGGGTTATCTGTATCTCCTGTGTTTGAATGGTCACATCACTGATGAGATGAGTGAAGTTTTCTTGAATCATTTCATGGAATGTTCCAGAGTGGTCTCTGTCTCTCTTTCTTCCTCAGGAAGGTCAATTACTCTTAGGTTCGGCCTCTTGAAACAATCACTCATCTCTTGAAGGTTTTTTTTCTATCTTTTTAAGCTTCTTTTCCATGCTTTTGACAGCTTGGGTAGTTCTATATTTTGGTCCTCAAGCTCTGAGATGCTTCTTCTTGGTTAATTTTGCTTTTCATGCTCATCAGTTTGTTATTTAATTCATTCACAGTACTCTTTAAAAAATTTTTATTATAAAAATGTGGGGTATATTTCAGGGATAGGTGTATAAACATTAATTATGCAAATACTCTTACTGATGAGGTATGTCCCTCCCTCCCCTAGCAGTTTCCCTCAACTGCCAATAAGACCCTCCCCCCTCCTGTGACAGTTTCCCACTACTGCCAATTGCTTTCTTATAGCATTATAATTGTTCAAGGTCCACTTATGAGTGAGAACATATAGAAATCTGTTCTTTGTTTCTGTGATAAATCACTGAGTATGATCAACTCCAAATTCATCCACAGTACTCTTCATTGCTGTTGTTTCAGTTATCAACTCCTTCATTCTTTCCTCTTGTTTCTCCTCAATTCTATTTATTCTTTCTATTAATGTCTTGCTATCTGATTGTAGTTTGAGACCAGTCATTCTGGGGGCATTTCATTGTTTGCATTCTAAAGTCTGATTTCTCAGTTTCTTACCTCACACTACTGTTGTGAATCGACACATCTAGTAAGATAAAATTCAGTCCACCCACTAAATATACAGACAATAAACAAACAGTGAGAAGAGCCTAACATGGGATGGAAATATATGAAGTCTCTGTGGAGTGTGGTAAGAAGCAGTGAGGACCACCATGCCTGACTAATTGTTTAATTATTGTAGGGATGAGTTATCTCCATGTTTCCCAGACTGGTCCTAAACTCCTGGGCTCAGGCAATCCTCTTGCCTCAGCCTCCCAACGTTCTTGGATCACAGGCATGAGACACTGCCTCTGACTGGGTATCACATTTCAACATGAGATTTGGAGGGGACAAACATCAAAAGTATATTTCTATGTTTCCCTTAAAGTTTCATACACAAGAGCCACCACAAACTAGAAGGACCCTCTGGGCTCTATAAAGGAGTGTTTGAGAGATCTTCTCATGACTTTTAAATCATTTCTATAGCTGTGAGGCAATCATGTACAATGGAGTGAGGATTTCCATCAAGGGGACAGGTAGGTGTGAGGCAAGATTTAAAGTGTTGCAAAGACCTAAGATGGTGAAGAGGTGGGTGAATGGGACTTGCTCATAGGAGCCCAGTCCTTGTGTAGAGAGTTGCTGTGTCTTTAGAACTTATGAAAGAGCAGATACAGCATGGGGAACACAGTGGAGAATAAAGGAGCCTCAGGGAAGATGGCTGGCTTTAGCAATTAAGGCAGCAGCAGCTGAAGTGCATGCAGGCATGGAGGGTTGCCTACTGCCACAGTATCTCACTGGCATGAGGAATATGCTACAGAATGTTTGAGAGGCAAAGAGTTACCCTAGAATACCTGTAGTAATACAAATATTTTCACGAGTATATAGGTAAACATATTTATCAAAATCAAGTAAGTCAAGAGTAGGGAGTATGGACAATGCTAACATTCAGGTTTTGACAAAATTTAATGTCTCTGATGACCACAGAATGGGCTTGGAGTGGTATCTGTGAAGAGGGCATATAGTGCTTTAGCAAGCATAGCAGAATTAGGCATCCATTGCAGGCCATAGTCGGCTGCCCTCAACATTTATGTACCTATTATTTCATTTCTGAGAGAGTGATGGAAAAATTTCTCAAAGCATTACAGGATGATCTTTTGAGTGCCCTGAAATATGTCACATCCTAAGTAAGATTGCATCAACAGAAGTTCAGATCTGGAGACTATGGCTAGTGCTTTAAGAGTCACTGAGAGTCTGAAAGAACAGCCTGTTTAGTTTGTTTACAAAGTTAAGGTCGCTAGTACATTACACATGGTGTAGGCTTGGGTAAAGGCTACAGAATCCAAGTAAGCTGGAAAGACTTGAGTGCATATAGAGGGAACTCACAACTTCCCTGAAGTATGGAGCCCATGTTTATTGCCTCTCTCTAAATGTAAATGCAAAGAAAAACTGAGTCAGGGTGCAAAGGAATTGAAAAGCTGAGCAGAGGTCTGCTACCATGAACCAGGTTGCATCAGCAAGAATTTATACAAGAATAATTAGCTGGACTGGAGATGATAAGGTAAAGGGAAATTACAAAGGAGCTTATGACTCTTCTATCTTGTAGAAATGGATAGATTTGATTTTTGTCAGAATCAAATTTTCATTGTTGTGTTACTGGTAAGATTGGAATGTTACAGGGTGAAGTGGTGAAAGCAAGCACACCTGCTGTAAAAGGCAGTCTGTTACAGGTTCACTTTCTCACTTTAAATCTCATGAGGAGACACTGAACTACTGATGAGAGAGGTTTCCTGTAATGTGTACAGGATCTGTACTCAGTCCCAGTCCAATTTCATTTACATGTGAAGTCCAGCGGTTAGCTGGGACATCTTTTAATCTTGCATTTTCTTTAGAGGAAGGAGTCTAGGTGGGTTTCCATGAGAGAGAGTAGGGAGTTTAAAGTTTGGTCTGAAGATAGAAAGATTAAAAACTCCCACCATATTACTTTTTCTGGGTAGCATTAAACTTACATAATGAATCTCTACCTAAAAGTTTTGCTGGTGTAGAGGTAAAAGCAAGAAAGATATAGTGGATGTTTAGAGGGCCTAAGAATACTGGGGTGGCTTGAGATGTGCACAAGAATATAGGCTGCCCAGAAACCCCAGAAGCTTGTATGAAATAAGATAGAATATTTGGAGATAAATGCTCTGAATGAATAGTAGAGAAAGACCCACAAGTGTCAAGTTAAAAATCCAGTTTCCAACCCACTATTTTAAGTTTAATGGTACATTTTTAGGTTACAACCAGCCTTCTGTGGGAGCTGGGTTCTTCCTTCCTTCCTTCCTTCCTTCCTCCCTCCCTTCCTTCCTTCCTTCCTTCCTTCCTTCCTTCCTTCCTTTCTTTCTCTCTCTCTCTCCCCCCTCCCCCTCCCTCTTTCAAGAACAGCAAAGCAGTTTTCCAATGTTCTGGCTGTCTGAAATTTTTGCAAACTTACAAAGGCAAACCAGAAAAGCCTTATGATTGACCAAAGGTAAAAGAGCACTTTGGGTCACTCGAAGAGGCTTGTCTTTGTTTCTACAATGGTTCCAGATGTAAGGCAGGGACTATTGATTTCATTCTCTTTTTTATCCTCTTTTTTCTTTCAAGCTGTTTTCAGAGAGTTTTGTGTAGCTGCTTCTTTTATAAGACTTAGAGACTAACCAACCTAAGCAATATTACTATTTCAGATTTTCCCTTTAGTTAAAAAAAAATTTCAACCAGAGTAGAAATAAGATTTCTTCGCTCTGAAGCCTTAGAATCTAATGCAGTAGACCCTTGAAAAGCTTTCATAAATCTCTTGACACAAGGCTTAGGGAGTTCCTATTCTTTCTGGATACACAATTCAACCTTAGAGTAACTTATCTCAGGAAGGAACACTTCTGATATTGCCTTTATCTGATCCTGAATACCAGCATGTAGCTGAGCTACCTTCTCAACATTTACAAGAAGGGTGGGAAGTGACTCCAGTGATCTGTTTTCTCTGTGATGGATCCCAGGGGGATCCCCCAGAAGCTGTGTGGCCTATATAATAACTGGTATAATAACCACCATACACACACAAAAGGGAAGTACACCCTTAGTTGTCAAGACCCCCACTCACAGGGTTACCAATGGTCACTAACCTTTCTAATTTTTCTAAACTTCTGAAAGTGGGGGCAAAAGAGATTTATAATTTAAAATATCTACTGCTTCCAGGGAACATGAATTCTTTGATACAGGGGACCAGAATACATGTACAGTGAACTTTCCATAGGGAGATTTGGAACTGATTGTGTCTGATTACAAAACCCTAGGAAACAGGAGAGGGTTAAGGAACAGTAAGATGGGCTGAGTCTTGTTTCACACTCCTGGTGTGTGTTTCGGATCTGCTTCCTGGTTATCAACTTTTACGCAAATGACTTGTTTGCCTTGGGCTTTAAGATCATGCTAGAGAGTTTTTGTAAGTCATCCAGGGAAAAAAGAAGAGCCCAGGGATTTTTTTGAGGAAATATGAGGAAATGCAGAGGCTGAGGAGATGGAGCTGGACATTGAGGGGCAGTGTTAAAATCAGGGACCTAGAGGCTCCATTAGATCATTTAGTGGATCAGGGACAGGAAATTAAGGATAAAGGGCAGTGCACATGGGTGGAGAAGGAGAACTTTTAGTGGGAGCTTATAAGAGAGGAACCCCCCTCCCAAAGAATTATTTTTTGGAGGGTGGTCCTCTTGTAGTACACTTGGAATTTGTTCCTCTGGATCAAATGGTCAAATACAGTTTTTACCTGAAAGTTTCAAGAAGGTTGTGTCACAATTTGCAGAAGAAACATCCTGAGCTGTGGCAAACAGGTGACTGGTTCTTTCACCACAATGCACCCACCCATACTCCGCTGAGTGTCCAACAGTTTTTGACCAAAATCAGCATGACCCCATGCTCCACCCTCCCTATTCACCAGATCTCACCCACAGCAACTTTTTTTGTTTTCCCAGATGAAAACAGTTCTCAAAGAGAAAAGTTTTGCCAATGTGAAAGAGGGGAAAGAGAGAATGGCAGACACACTAAAAGGCATCAAAATTGATGAGTCTGAAAACTCTTCTGAACAGTTGAAAAGTGTCTCGTGTTGGCCCCACTGAGCTCCAAGCTTGTGTGGAATGGCCAACTGTGGCAGATGCAACTCCAGTATGACATGAAAGTAGGGCTTCCTTCATCCATCTGAAGAAAGGAATAGTGGCAGGTGACAGTTTGCATGTGGAGTTTTCAGATTCCTTCATCTGAATGAGAAACCTGCCTCCATTAGGACCTCAGATGTCTGGCAGCCCTGTATCACACGAAGATAATAAGTAACAGTTGGCCACTGGTTCTCAGCTTGAAGATTCTGCAGTCCTTATTGATCCTTTTTCTTGGCGTTACCATTTTTTGAAGCAAAGTTAACCTAGCTTTCTAGTTTGAGCTTTCTTTTTGGCCATCTTTAAAACAATTTTCAAAAATCTATAAAATAGACAAGAGATAGTTCTACAATGTCCAAGTCGTTCCAGCAGTCATCTCTTGGTAGGGACTCACAGGGTCATGGGTGTGACCTGTCTGTGGCAGGAATAGGCCTTCTTGCTGCTGCAACCCAGTCTTTAAGTATGCCAGCATCTCTTGGAAGGATGAACCAGGGTACTGCACGCCTTGCTAGTTTAATGAATCATGGAATGAGTTCTTCATTGAATCAACAAGGAGCTCATAGTGCATTGTCTTCTGCTAGTACTTCTTCCCATAATTTGCAGTCTATATTTAACATTGGAAGTAGAGGTCTACTCCCTTTATCTTCTCAACACCGTGGAGATGCAGACCAGGCCAGTAACATTTTGCCCAGCTTTGGTCTGTCTGCTAGAGACTTAGATGAACTGAGTCATTATCCAGAGGACAAGATTACTCCTGAGAATTTGCTCCAAATCCTTTTACAGCTTGAAAGGAGGAGAACTGAAGAAGGCCCTACATTGAGTTATTGTAGAGATGGCTGGTCTGCTACACGGGAGCCACCATGCAGAGTACCTAGGGATGACTGGGAAGAAAAAAGGCACTTTAGAAGAGATAGTTTTGATGATCATGGTCCTACTCTCAACCCAGTGCTTGATTATGACCATGGAAGTCATTCTCAAGAATCTGGTTATTATGACAGAATGGATTATGAAGATGATAGATTAAGAGATGGAGAAAGGTGTAGGGATAATTCTTTTTTTGGTGAGATCTTGCATAACTATCATAAATTTGTCAGTGAGTATGAATGAATGGGATGTGGTCCTGGTCCCTTACAAGAGAGATCTCTCTTTGAGAAAAAGAAGGGTGCTCCTCCAAGTAGCAATATTGAAGACTTCCATGGACTCTTACCGAAGGGTTATCCCCATCTGTGCTCTATATGTGATTTGCCAGTTCATTCTAATAGGGAGTGGAGTCAACATATCAATGGAGCAAGTCACAGTCGCTGATGCCAGCTTCTTCTTGAAATCTACCCAGAATGGAATCCTGACAATGATACAGGACACACAATGGGTGATCCATTCATGTTACAACAATCTACCAACACAGCACCAGGAATTCTGGGACCGCCACCTCCCTCATTTCATCTTGGAGGACCAGCAGTTGGAACAAGAGGAAATCTGGGTGCTGGAAATGGGAACCTACAAGGACCTAGACACATGCAAAAAGGTAGAGTGGAAACTAGCTGAGTTGTTCACATCATGGATTTTCAACAAGGGAAAAACTTGAGATATCAGTAGTTACAGCTGGTGGAACCATTTGGAGTCATTTCAAATCATCTGATTCTGAATAAAATTAATGAGGCATTTATTGAAATGGCAACTACAGAGGATGCTCAAGCTGCAGTTGATTATTACACAACCACACCAGCATTAGTATTTGGCAAGCCAGTGAGAGTTCATTTATCCCAGAAATATAAAAGAATAAAGAAACCCGAAGGAAAACCAGAAGTTTGATCAAAAGCAAGAGCTTGGACGTGTGATACATCTCAGCAATTTACCCCATTCTGGCTATTCTGACAGTGCAGTCCTCAAGCTTGCTGAGCCTTATGGGAAAATAAAGAATTATATATTGATGAGAATGAAAAGCCAGGCCTTTATTGAGATGGAGATGAGAGAAGATGCAATGGCGATGGTTGACCACTGTTTGAAAAAAGTCCTTTGGTTTCAGGGGAGATGTGTGAAGGTTGATCTATCTGAGAAATATAAAAAACTGGTACTGAGGATTCCCAACAGAGACATTGACTCACTGAAAAAGGATAAAGCCTGTAAAAGATTTTTTTTTCATTAATCAGTATTTTTTATTATGGTTTTGTGGGGTACAGTTAAGGGTTAGGTGTACAATTACGTT